TAAAGGTCACCACGGTATATCCACTTTCCATAGTAAAATCACCTCTCGTATTAGAAATACCCAATGAAGTACAAAAAATCAGACGGCATCCTTGTGATATGTGTAATAAAACATTTGGTAACCGTAAAAGTATGATGCTTCATCGACGTACGCATTGTGACTCACAACGTTCAACTTTTGTGTGTCCAGAAGCCAAATGTGGGCGCATATATTCTTCAAAGCAAGCCTGCGATGTACATGTTAAGCAAGTACATCAAAAAGATGGTTTGGTCTGTTCTGTTTGTAATAAGCGATTTGCTATTATACAAACGCTGGAAGTGCATATGCGTTACCATACCGGAGATTTTCCATTCGGCTGTAATCTTTGTGACAAAAAGTTCGCCCAAAAAGGACATCTCACGACGCACATGCAAGTTAAGCACAACAACCTGCGTTATTTTTGCACAGAAAATGGATGCGGAAAAGTTTTTAAAAACAGCGTCTCGTTAAGAAATCATCGTTATGTGCACAGTAGTATGCCTTTCTCTTGTGAATACTGTAAAAAGGGATACCCTCAAAAAGCAAAGTAAGCCCTAAATTATTTTTGTATTACAAAGAGATTGTCTTTAATTAGATTTTTTTTTTTTTATAGATTAAAGACGCATATAAGCTCAAGACATGGTATTAAAAAAACACTGGAGGATTTGGAATCGATGCGTGTGTTTAAAGATGCTCGTACCAGACACTCCTTGTTCGAAATTCAAGCGCAGTTTACAGATGAGACGGAAGGGGATGCTAATAAAATGGGCGACAATAATGAGGAGGACGATTTAATCGTATAGCATTAACCAACCAAATTATTTGTTTAATACGAAAGCTGTACATTACTTTTTTATTTTTAACATGTGAGTACTTAAAATATTTTCATAATTAAAAAAAGCCCGTTACTTATGTTTATCAAATAAATATTATTAGTATTATCGAACCTTATGAAAAGTATGTATTCACTTGATAAATAATAGTGGAGTTAATGGATCGAAAATTATTTACTCTACTGTATGAGATTTACTCAAAAGATCCCAATACTCATATACGGCACATGAAATCTAATGTAATCTGTAAATTTAAATACAAAACATCTGTAGATCAGGTGGTTAAGGTGCGCTTATTCTGAGCTTCACATTTGGCAGGACCCGAGTTCGATTCCTGGTACTTGCAGTCTCAAAAATAATTATTTACGAATAATTAAATACAAGAATTATTTTCAAGACCACTGATGATGGGTATTTGGCAATACTCGAAACAGCTGTATGGTTAGCCGATTATTCAATTAATTAAAATAATATAAAAAATAAAATTTTTGTTGTTATAGTTCACTATTGTTCGAAAAAACCTCCATATAAATTTATAAGAAAAAAAAAATTTTGAATTAAGCTGCAATTTCAAGAAACTCACGAGCAAAAACAAAAATTTTATGCTTACAGTCGTCCACTGCTAATTATTACTGTGCAAACTGCAAACTGTCTTAGTTTATTGTAATTTACTTTGCCTATTCCATTTTTTTATTATGCAATCAATCGATACAATATAAGAGTTTTTATTATTATTATTATAATAATCATCCGTAATATTATTCATTGGCATTACACTCCGTAAAACTTATCCAATCGCATTATATCTTTCCAATCTTGTCAATTTTTTGATTTTTCTTATCAATTACTTACGCTTAAGAAGAACAGGTATACTGTTTACTTTATCTATCCATATTCTGTATAGGCGTTATATACCCTAGTAACTTGTGAGAAAAGTTTACTTTGTGGGCTGTCTATCAATAGTCACGGCATTTCCGTTTATCAACAGATACAGCACATTGTTGTATCTTAATATATACGTCTCATTTTTTCCATCATTTTCTCATACAAGGGAAACGATTAACTGTACGATTTTTCTTTTATAAACCCTTAATTTTTAAGTTTCTGCTTCTGTGAATCTTTAAATTTAAACGAATCTTTATATAAGTAAGTTAGCCATCCTTCTCTCTTATATGGGTAGGTCCAGTTAACGCTGGTTTTTATTTTGTTGATCTAGTTAACATTAGTTAGTACAAAGTTCTGAGCAAGATTAATTACTACTAATTGAGAATTTTCTTCTCTAACAAGATTTATGCAATGCCAACAATTCATTTACTTTAATTAATTATTATTAATTTATTGTTTTAATGACCAAAATTTTTATTAATAATTTTGTTGGTCAATTGTTAAATAATACACTTTTTTAAGAAATGAGTTATTAAAAAATTATTAATTTATACTAATATTTCAACTATATTGTGTAATCATCTTCAAAATACTATTTAATTTATTTTAATTTAATTCTTAGGATGATTATATAGCTGTTTTAAATATTGTCAAATATTTATTATCAATATATAGTAGTCTTATTAAATATATAAAGTTTTTATAGTCCGTATATAATTTTTGGACAGCACAAGAAATTAACGTAGCTTAAATTAGAACCGTGGATTCTTGTGTTACCACACAATCCCAAAATGTATATATTTTTTTTTAAATGCATCCCACAGCTTTCTTAGCAAATGATTGAAAATTATGCCACATATATTTGAGAGATACTTCACATTTATTGGGCATAAATGTGTTATGACCAACAGCGTAGTTGCGGTCATTCCTGAGCAGGAATTTGTGGAAGTAGTTGCGGTCGAGGAACAGTCGCACTTTTAAGATAAATTGTTTCACAAGTAGACGGTGGTAGGAGTTCTTAGGTTGATTGAGCCACGAACTTTTATAGCTACAATTGACTTGAAATTGTGATATTAGTTTCGGGAATGGAGAAAATGTTTTTATAACTGTTTATTCAACAGGAGTTTTTCAAATTATATGGTAATTTAGGGTGACAGACATCAATTTTGATCATACAGAAATGTTTGGCTATCAGGGAGCCCTTCCTTGGGGGAGGGTCTAATCATTTTTACTGACGGTTTAAAAACTAGGAGTGGAGCAGGAAGTGAAGTTTTTCTCAAAAGAAAGGTCTAATTATATCCTCTTACTAAACGCTTCCAGATAACTGTAGTGTTTTACAGGCAAAATTGATTGCTATTAAAAAAGCTGTAGCTTATCTAGAAATAGATGATATACTTGATAGGAACATATACATACTATCAGACAGTCAAGTTGACTTCTACACATCTCTAAATGAGATGTCGACGCAGTTCAATATTTCTCTAGTCTTGGTTTCAGGTCATACCGATATTTTCTGCAATTGCAAAGTAGACAAACTAGCCAGACGGGGTGCTTCAGGAAACCACTCGGAACACCGAAATGGTCTGATCATATCGTTGACATCATGCAAACTGGCATTGAGTTCTTCCTGTGGTGAACTTTTTAACAATAGATGGGAAGACACAACGATATGCAGGCATCTGTATGCAATTTTGCCACGCTCCAATAAAAGAAAATTAAGCTGTCTTATTAAGATGCCCCGTAGAGATATCAGTCTTGAAGATCAGATCATAGTTCAGATCATTGTATTTTAGGTAACCATAATAGGAGACTAAATTTCCCTTTCAATCATACCTGCCGCAGTTGTATAGAGGACGATGAAGGTGCCTCCCATTTGCTTTCTTTTTTAAGGATCTTGGCGAACTGCTAGACCTCCCCCTTAATAGCAGTATAAGCTCTGCCAAGGGTTCTAAGTAGTTTTAACCCTTGAGTTTTTAATTATACGGTAACACAATGGGCATATACGCTTTAGTGGACCCCTTGGGATCGCCGGTACAACCTATCTACTTACCTAGGGTGACAGACAGTTAAGAATTTTGTTGGAGTTTTTTTCAATATATTATCTAACACTATATATTTAGGGATTAACCAACACCCAACAAATTCTTTTGGCTACACCTATAATCTTTACTAGTCGAGCTACCTTTTTGGATACGTTTTGTATCAGAAGTACTATTTGTATTATCGCTTGTATTCTTTAAATAGGAAAGGTGTATTTCTGTCATCCCGCAGTCATTTTTTTCTTTTGATTTTTGGATATAACGACGTGTTTATTAACGATTAGTTAAACTATAGAAATAATTATTATGATGAAGTATTAACATCATTTCTATAGATTATTCTCGATATTATTTATTTACCTTATGATTATTGTGTCTTCTTTTTTCTTCTCGTGACTTTTTCGTTCTAACTTTATTTTTAATCGCTATATTTTTTTGATATACATTGCCAAATCACTCTTACTTCTTCAGTTTTATTTTTTTCCTACAATATTTTAAATATATGTTAGAGTTTATTTTTTTTAAGAATTCCTATAGGTGTTCTACGTGGAGTCTGATATTTGCATTTAAACAATTGGAGTTTCTTTTAGATTATTCCACATATGATTAATATTTAGATTGTTCTGTATATCTATGAAGTTTTTTGCTATTTTTTTTTTTTTAATCTTTATTGTTTCTTTTGGTCATAATTTGATGTCAAAATATTATACTTCTTTCTTGTATATCTAGCAAGTAGCCAGAGTCACTGTCTACAACTCTTATTCGTTACCAACTTATTCGATCTTCGTTATTCGCTACCACTTGATATAAAAATAATAACATGATTTAACTCTACTCAATACCTCTCCTCACTTTAGTTTTAAAAAAATGATAATTTTTGTAAGATTTCCTTGACTTTTGTTAGAATAATTCTGTTACTTTATAAAAACCACTTGTTTTACATATACTTTTTACATAAAATTATTTTCTTATTTGTCTATTCTTCGGTATGTGCGAATTCAAACTCTTTTTAAATTTACTTAACATATTAACATTTATTATTATATCACATTTATGTCTTTAGTTTGAGATACACACTTACATTGAGAAATATTTCTTATATATATTTTATAATAATTTTACACGAAATATTACATACATACATTTAACAATTACAAAACAATAAATAAATAAATTTATATTTATAACTTTAAAATTATTGATGATAAATAATAGATGTTTACTCAATTAATTGCTTAGTAAATTCTGCTTATTTATATGCGAGCATCTAAAGATTTCCCACCAGGGGAATGGCTTTACTAGAAGATTCATCTGCAATTCAATAAAATTAAATATTTACAAACGTGAATATTATTAAAATGTTAGTGAAATTAAAAATTAAATGAGAAAAAAATTGTATACCTGGATTGGACGAAGCAGTTGCAGTGGCAATTGTAGTTGCCATGCCACTTAATGGATAGGGACGTCTACGTGCGGTGATTTTCTTCCAGCCACGTAACAAAATTTGATTACGATACTTCGGTGTTGTAAATGTGTACAACAGTGGATTGACGGCAGAATTGAGCGGTAAAATAAACACAACCAACCAGGCATAGATGTCATCTGAATCAATAAACACAATTTATAATGTCTAACTAAATTGACTGCATCAAGATTAATAAATAAACTACATAATAAGAAAGTTTAAATACTAACTTGACAAATGCTGTCTACAGCTTGACACATTGCGCGTAATAAATATTATGTCCACTCACCTGATATATTATATTTGAAAAACACCCAAATCTTAAAAATAATGATTGGCGCCCAACACAATGCGTCCGTCAGTACAATAAAGAAAAAACGAACTGCAAATTCGCAATCTAAGAACGAAAGAGGTGTAGCCTTCCGAGTGCGCCAAATGGAAATAAGTAGCACTGTGTAGAGCAGTGCAATCATAAGCAGTAGAAATAAATTTACTCCCAAAAACATAAAAGCTGAATACTGCCAGCCAAGTGGGTAGGGTTCCTGTATGTGCAGTGGAAAACAAGTGCCCGAATATGTGCCATAAAATTTTGTACTTGAGCGCCAGAGTACCACAGGTGCCACTGCAATGCCTATACCCATTATCCAAATCAATGTCAAAGCAGCGATAATGTTTCGTACACTAATACGACGATGACTGCGGAATGGGTCAGCAATCAAAAGAAAACGTTCCAAAGACATGAAAGCAAGTATTAGCATCGATACTTCAGAAGACGTGACAGCCAGAGTGCCGACTGCTGCACACTGCCAGGAGGTAATCCAATCAAGTGCTACTCTGTTAAAGCGATATAAAAAGTTTAATAAAACCTAAAACATTTCTCTAATTTTTTTTAATAATATTATTTTCGTTTTGTTGCCGAACTCACTCACTTATAATATTCATTGCGATGGCGAATATCCTGCACACCAATTGTCAGCAAATAAAATCCCATTAATATATCTGCAAATGCTAAATTTCGTATGACCAATGTTACTGCAATATTCTCATCACGATATATGAAGCGACCCCAAAGTACCATTATATTGCCGCTTATTGTGACGGTGGCCATTATCCATGCTGAGTAGCGTAATATGGGCTTACTGAGTAAATCTTTAAAGGAAGATATTCCATCTGTTTTTGGTTTGCACATTCTTACTTTCGGTATCATCGAACAGAAATAAAACCGATCGAAAATTATGTACTTCAGATTTGGCATGTTGCTTAAAGCTTTAAAATCTATGCTTTCAAAGCGTATGCCGGTTAAGTTTAGGTATGATAGTTTCACGGGTTGCAAGATGTTGCTTCGTATTTGAAGAGCAGTATGGCTAAGCGAACTATGAAAGAGAAAACACAAATGTTTTTAGTTAAAAAAATATTAATTTATTTATTTAAATTTATATTTAACAATTAGCAATACGATAAAAAACTATAAGCTAGCAGTAATAGAGTTTAAATCTAATGAAATGGTTTGACATTCGATAAAGTTTTTAAATACTGACAAGCGAAGTCGCTAATATGTTATTAGTTTGTCAAATAGTTGACTTTAAATCATCTAAGGGATATCTAACAGATTAACTTGACAAAATTTTCCTTATTCTAACAAGCCATGTATTAACGATCTTTTACTTCTACTAGGTTTTTTCTGAGTTAAGAATAATAAACACTGACAGTAGGAATCGACTACTTTATCAATCAGTTACTAGTCAGAAAGGATATTTTAAAGATTTAAAGATTTTTAAATTAAAGATTTTACATATTAGCATGGTGTTGTTGCATACTTTTCTATTTCTTTTTTTCTGAAATCACGTTATAGATATTAACAAACATAGAGACGCTATATTTTCGCTTCTTGATGAGGGAAAAGATGTCACCAGTGATGTTAAAAGTCTTATAGTTATCATAAATGACGAATGCAAAGATGCAAGTACTATTCAACAAATTATTATGAATATATTTGTCTATTGTTTTTGACAGAAAACTTAGTTAAAAGCAAACTACATTCGAGCGAGCTTTTCGTAAAAAGTGGAGGTATATGTTAGGTCATAAGACCTATAGTGAGCTATAGTATGGCATCACTGTATGTCGGACGGCCCTAGACAAATATTCGTACTGTACGGTATTCATAAGGATTTAGCGTAGGGCTGAACTCTGCATCAGTGGTGCTATGTGTTTATTGTAGTAAATAATAACACAGAGTCCCTATAAGTTTCATCTAAATATAAAAACTCATTCACAGCAGGATATAACAATGATTTCCCCCAATTTTACACAAATATTTGAAGCCAGACGATGAAAAAAATTATTAAAAATACTGATAATTTTTAAGTCTGGATTTCAAAGCGATGTTCATTATATCAAAAAATTATTTTCCATATGGAGTATCTGCTTCATGTTTGAGTTATAGTTTGTCTAATAAATTCTATATAGTGAGTTTTAAGTATTCATAATAGACGATTATTATGTTCTCATTAACATATATGAACTTCATCATTGATTCGTAGTTGCGATCACTTTTTAGTTTAAAACACAATACATAACAAATAATAATAATATTATGTAGCGTAGAACAAATTGCAACATTTTTATAAAATTTTATAAATATTATTGAGCTTAAATGTCTCATGAATTAAAATAAACTTCAAGGATCGTTTATTTATTATGTGTTTAATAAAATATCTTCTTCTTTATATCTGCAAATACAGTTATTTTTAATTACTTACAGTGCCTCCAGGTAATTGCTACGCAGAAATATTTCTCCAGGCAAGATTTTGATTGGGTTTCCTATAAGACGGCTTTAAGCAAAAAATAAATAAATTAATTAAATAATGTTAGTCTTTTATATTAAATATTAATGTCGTAGGATTACATAAATATATATTCAAAAAATAAATTACAAAAAATCGCTTTGTTTTTCGTAACTGCAAACTAATAAGAGATAAATGTATGTTCTCCTGAGAAGTTTTCTTCTCAGGTAAAATTTAAGTAATAATAAGTAATAATAGAAACTTAGTATAATCTGTGCTTTCTATTACTGAAGTTCATCTTAAGAATAGGAACTTTATAATGTTAACATTGCACCCCTATGGTAATATGTTATTATAATTATAATTAATTATAATTTATATAATTCATTCACATTATAATTAATTAACATTTTACAATATATGTATTTTATGTTAACTTGAAGTCGTCAATAAGGTTGCTTTACTCACCAGTCAAAGGCTTAAATATTGTACTAAATGTTGAAGCGATTGGCAAACAGACATGCTGCAAACACTATTGGCCGGGATTTATTGGAACGTGTCATTTGATATAAATTTACAACAGTAAGCAAAAACTCGTCATCGAAAGCTGATTTTTCTTGCCTTTTTTGGCATCGCACAGCTGCAAAAGGAAAACCTTAGCATACTTTTCGGTTCAGCGTAATTATTAATTGACCACGTAGGCCATTTAATGCCTACGTTTTGCCTGTGCAAATATTGAATATTCTGCCGCACAACACTGGAATTATGTTAATATAACTAATTTACGTCAAAATATTTTCTTATTTGCAATGCTAATTAACCAATTTACTAAGATTAAATTATTTATGCGTCAACATTCTTTGAAGTGGCTAAACGCTGCATAATTTGTTTGCAATTAGCTTGCGGTTAAAATTTTGTACGTGACGTATGAGTGATTTTTAAGATTTTTGTATTGGATCACTACTCACTCACTCTGTTTTTGAATTCTGCTAAAAATTATGTCTGAAGAAGGTTTCGATACTCACAAAAACAATTCTTTGTTTGTTTTAATTTGTGACAAATTTTATTTGCTACAAAGTTTTTTCTGGCTTGAGTGACATGAAGATTTACATGCATAATATTGGAAAGGAGATAAGATGGTTTCAAACATATTTACTAATTCTAACCTTATTTTTAATAATATATATAGTAAATAAAGTAATTTTAAATTTTATTTATGGAAATAACCCGAAACATACTTCTCTTGAAGATATATAAAGAGTTGATTTCATTAAATTGACATTGACATTACTTTAGTCGTTAAAAGTTAAACTTTAAATTGACAGATTTTATGTAAAATAGAGCACAAGAGAATTCTTAAAAATTTAGAAAATATTGAATTAGAGAAATTTATCCACGACGCTTAACACCTTGTGGATTCCAAATGAACCCTGTATAAGTGAGATCATTGGGATCACCCCAACGTGAAGTATAACTAATACAAACATGCTTCCGTATTAATGCTCTGTTTGTTAGTTATTATCCACAAATGTTCATCCGACTACCATATTTGGTAAATATATCGCAAATATCTTTTTATAAAGCAATTTAGTATTGTCTTGTATAAACTCATGTCTCAGAGTTGTTAAGATACTCCGATTTTATATTGGTTTAATACCAAAAATAGATTTCGCCCCAAGAGAAGGTACTTGGATACAAAAAAATTTCACAACTTAATACAAGCATAAATTTGTGAAGGACTACCATTGCCGCGGTCAAAAATGATTAAAGTGAATGTCGTATAAATAAAAACTTAAACATTTTTGTGTCAGACCATTATTGATGATGAAACTTAATATCTAATACAAATTATTTTGAGTTTAAGTTCGATGAATCCTCCATAAAAATTTTGAAATAAAATATTTACTGCTTCAACGCCAGTCATGAAGTTTATGAAATTATAAAGATGGTGTAAGCGGCTAAACCGAAACTATCAAATACGCTATCGAAAAAAATTTTAAAATAGAACAATCAACATGACCAACTGTTCTTAAGAACAGTAATTATTGCTTATAATAAGAAATAACCAAACACAAATTCGCTATTTCAGTATAAAAATATTGGTTGTGGAGGAAATATTCTCTGTCTTACTTTATGGCCTCTTCGTATACATTATTTCGATCGTATTCTGTCGGGCACCACTAAAACAGAGCTGCAGTGCTTTATTGAGTTACCAAATCTGTGTAATTTTTAACATGACCACAATTCTGATATGTCAAGCACGCCCATTTGTCAACAGAGTCTAGTTAAGTCAATTATTCTGCATTTTCCGCAACTATTTAGCCCATATAGTTTTCACGATATCGAGCTGTAAAGTTGGAATTATTAACATGCCTGCATAATCAATATAAAAATTTAATACACTAGTTAATTGTAATCAATATAAAAGTTCAGCTCACACCTTCAAATCTCGTCTTAGAAAAAGCTCCACAAAGTGACTGATTATTCTGTAGCGATCTTTCATAAAATATTTCTGCCAAGGAATGAGTGGAAGAGAAGAAACTTTAAAGCAAGCTACGATGTATCAATTTTCATGAATGGTATATTAATAGATAGACGGGAGGAGCATCATGTGTACGCTATTCGCATCATGTGTACCACTGCCTCAGGCAACGTAATGAAACTACGGTTTTTAAGGCTGAAGTTTTAGCGATAAAAAAGGCCTGTCAACTAATAGTAAATCAAATTAAAAACAGATGAACTGTCTGCCATTTTTATTGGCAACCAATATTGCATTATTATTGTTACTGACTTTTCGTAAATTAAAGCTCTCCAATCCTCTATCATAAAATTAATGTTTGTTGAAAAATGCAAGTTAGAATTTGCCGAGCTAAACGGACCAGACCAATACATTTTACCTTCTGATTTCTACTTGTTGCGCTCGGCTAATAACATCGTGCTTGATCAGGACTTCAATTATGTAAATTATGGTATATAGTCTCAATTGTCTCAATCAACACACAATTTTTTCACTATGGTATCTACGTTTTGCCAGAAAAAAAATAATAGAATCAACACTTAATTGCTTTGAATAATTATCCTTTAATTGTCTTAAACTCAAACAGGTTAAAAAATGTTATAATGATCATCTAACTTAGAATGTGATATATTACCCATATAAATGTAAATGTCTTTATAAATTTAGATACTTCTATTAAAAACCACAATAAATTTCAATAAGAAGTTTCTTAAATTTGTAGGCTGCCTAACTAGAAGTCATTTATAGCTAGATATTTGTAAACAAAACATAATGAGTTTAAGTCCATATTAAATGTATAAAAATCTAAATAAGTGTAATAAAAAGGATACGCATTTGAATGCCTACAATTTAGCATTAAAGTAAATTTGTACAAAACAATGTAAAGCAGGCAACCGATTTATTTATTTTTGTCTTTTTTTTTGCTTGTAATGTTTTTGACATTCAGTAGGATCTTGGTCTGTTTGGGGAATTGCTGTCAACTAAGCCAGATGGCAATAATTGTACGAGTGTATATTAACTGGATTCAATTCGTTGCAACGGCACTGGCACATTAATAAGCAGTCCCCACTTTTTCTAAGTATCCTGACCATATATTTTCGCTACTAAGCAACTTGTGAAAGTACTAATGGACAACGATTTTTTGTACGTGTCCTTTCTTTTTCTACTCGGTACTTCTGCAATGAAAGGACTTCTTAGCACAATCCAAATAAATTCACGACACGCATTTATTTAAATTTGTATCCGAATGCTTAAAAACACATCAAAGCCTGTAAATTTGTTGACTTAGCAAAATGGATAATAAAAGCATAGCAGATATTTTTCAATGTCTACTAAACAAATTATTTAACCAGATTGACCAATTTAACTGAGACTGCGGTTGTTTGCATGTCCTTATAAATCCTTTTAGCAATAATATAATAATTTTCAAACAAAATATTTAATTAGATACACAATGCACAATGTTACGAGTATATCTCTTAAACCCAATTCTAACAGAACAGTCCTGTTCTGCTCTTATTCTCTGCCTTTTCATCGCTTTGTATTTGTACCATAAAGTTTTTAAATTTTTTTGGTGCTTTTTTTGAATTTTATTAAAACATAAAATGATTTTCTTAATTTCTTTTTCATCATAAAACTAAATTTATTTACATTTTTATTTGGTAGTTATTTTTTTTCTATTTTTCGCTTGTTTTGTTTGTTCTGTTGTTTGGTCCTGAGGTCTCTTCGCCTTTACACAACAAAACTACAAAATAATGAAAATAATTCACACAAACCAATCCATGTCCTCATCCAAACTGTTGCCATATCCCAGCGGAATTATTGAATTCATTATGTTATGATGACTTTTTGATTTCGTCGCTGGCCTTCCCCTGCTTTTATTTTATTTGAATTTATGAAAATTGACTTGAGCTCCATAAACAAGGGAAAGAAGTGGCGAGCGATTCAGTGCCGTTTTCAATTAATAAATATTTTTGTTATTGTTTTCCGACAATTACCCCATTCAGTTGTGGTAGCATTAGGAAACGATAGAATTGCTCATTTGTGGTAAACTTCCTTGTTGACTTTAGTAATTTTATTAAATAAACACCACAATACATCACAAAAGAGATGTGTTCTTTTTTTAAAAACCTTATTAAAGACACGTACTTTTAGGATAAGGATTATAAATAATGTCACCAGACCTTTACTTTTTCACTTTAACTACTAATTACAAACGTTATAAATATTGGAACAGCGGTGTATTTTTACAACGTTTCCAGATGGCAAAAATAGTATTGTACCTTATTGGAAAATGAATAGAGCTAAAAATAATTATACTAAGAATATTAGATCTAGACAGCTTCTATAAAAGTTTTAGATAACTTCTTTACAAATGTAAAACTAGCTAAGGCAGTAAACTCCAGGAGTTTGACAACAGTATCTACAGACACAAAAAACAAAAGGTTCCTTTCAGGAAATATGCGACCTATATGATACCAATCATCTCGCAAATCAGTAACTCATGATCACGGCTCGTATTGTACACCGA